ATCCTGTGGGATCTCAGATACTTGGTTTGCCACAACTTATATATGATACGTCCTTTTTGAAAGTTCTGGTGGCAGAAAATAGTGGTTTTGCAGAAGTCTAATTTATTTTTGTGTCTAGTATCTTCTCAATCTGAAATTACTATTACATATATTATCTATTTTGTATAACACAAAAATATGTCCATGCAGAAGATGAGGCTCACTGTGGAGATTATTGAAAAGGACAGTTTGATTAAATGCCTCATTTTACTTAAAAGCAAAAAAAAAGAAAATTAAAAACAACAGAGAAATTTTAATTTCTTTTCATTAACCATAACTTCAAATATTTAGCAGTTAAAGCTTTGCTAGTTGGTTTCACAATGTGGTAGCCAGGTAGCCCTACCTGGGGACACCATGAGGAAAGCTACTGTGGTCCCTCCACAAAGTATGCAATGGCAATACAGGGTAATTCTGGTTTTATTAATGTGTGGGATGGAAGAGGAATAAAAAGATCGGTTTCTTCAGTTTGGTAGCTGGGAGTAATAGGAGTTGTTGGAATGTCTGGACAATCAAGAGCGTGTGTGTGTGGGGGGCACACACACGTATTTAGACAATGTAAGATGTCTTTCAGAGTTTAAATTATCTTTTGGTGCCAGAGTGTATTTCCTATTCAATATTTACAGGCCTGGTAAAGTGTTATGTGTTTCAAATCATCTAGGATAGAATGTGAGTTCTGATTTTCCTGTGGTGTTTTTTTCTTGATAATTTGAAGTGATTGACCTTAACTGTCTTGTAAGAATCAGCTCTTTTAGGGATAGTGGTCTGTACTGAGTACCAATAATGAGCTAAGCTTATGCAAGCTATCTTAAGAACTTTTTGACCATTAACATTTCTACTAGAAGAGAACTATAGTCTTAATATATATTAAGTTATAAGGCAATAGTCTACAGATTTTCTTTTCTTCTCCTGCTTGTCCAATATCTTGATGTCATTGATAGAAATTATTTTAAAAATACTGGAATATGATAGTGTCAGATGGTTTTTTTTGTCTTAATCATAACGCTGTAGTCACAGCCTTACTTTGCTTTTAGTTTTGCTTTTCTGTACGTTAATAATAACTTGTGGTTTGGCCTTTAATACTAACCATCATTGTAATATAATCCTTGCATATGTTGGCTAAAAATTTTGCCTTAGTGTTATGCAATAAAATTGATTCCATGATTATTCAAGCCTTTTGCTGTATTGATGGTTACATTGAAGGGTTTACTTTATTATAAGTGCTCACATTGAAACATGAATGAATATTTAACATGGTTTTGATTAAAAAAATGACTGGCTCTTGTTCAAATTTATAAAAGCTGGACTTCAAAATTCCATTTAAATTTGGCATATTTAATTCATATTACAGTTAATATTACATTTCTAAAATTATAAAAGCATATTGAAATAATTTTTCATGTAAATTTGACAATCCTGTCTTTTTTTTTTTTTTTCATGAAACGCAAGGCAAAGAGTAGAATTAAAACTTAGTGGCATTGAAGTTTTGGTCTGAGGGTTAGAAGTCAGCTCTGAAGGTTGTCAGAGGAAAAAAGTGGCTTTTGAACTGTGTTGGTTGTGATCTCATATAATGAAATGACTGGGGAAGGGAAAAGTATTTAAAAGATGAGGAATCATAAAAAAGAAAATATGTCAAAGGCTAGAGTGAGAGTTCTTAATATGTTGTTAAAATCGATTTTAAGATTTAGGACATCTATGTAAAATGAAGTTGTCTATTAGAGAGGTTAGTAAATCACACGTAATTGAAAAACATAATCTTGTTCAACACCCGCAAGTTCAATGTTCTTTAAAATTTATGACATATTTTCTTTTTACTGCTGGGCAACAAACCAAATGTAGGAATAGATGTGGTTTTAAGGTGAATATATTAATATCATCAAATCAAGGAAACATAGCCTGCAAAGTTTAATGAGGAGAACCAAGACTCTTCAAAGGCATATGTCATGCAAGTTCTGTGGTTGGATTTGAAAATGATCAGATGCAGGCATTTGTAGTTGCTGGCTGTGCGGTATTTTTTCAATCTTTATTTGATTTATGTTGCTAAGTTTTGCAAGCAAGCAAAATTCTGAGACCAAACACTTCTCAGTGTGATGGTATTCGTTTGCATTTCATAGCAAAATTATCATAGGTACAAATGCTATGCACAAAATATTACTGAACTTGAAATACACTGAGTTTGAAGTAGACTGTTGATTGAACTTGGAATAGTCTGGACTCAGGATAGTGCTACGTTCAGTTGAGAAGTACCTCTTCAGCGGGAGGTTCCCAACACTTTGCAGCTGTACACGAATTTCACAACAGAAACTTATTATAATTTCTCCTACATAAAGCAACATAAACGTAACTTCCTTCACTGCCTGCAACCACAAGGTAAAGACAGCTTTTCCTGATGATCCTCGTATGTATGACTGCAGATTTAGTAGAGAAATTTGCAATTTAGAACTGTAGACAAATCTCAATGTGCTAAATGTTTTAATGTATCAAGCAAATACCTACCTTTTCTTTCTTTGTAGAAACTAACTGAATAACTCAAACCCAATGATTTTGCATGATCTCTAAAGACGGCACTTGCGTTGATATTCTAAGAACCATACATTGGTAAAGCTTCACCATGAGCAAACTCCAGAAATAGCTTTTTGTTTTCATTCATTCTTTTATTTCATTCACTCAGTTCATTCATTCTTCACTTCTTCCTACATAATAAACATGAATTTCAAGACAGTTTATAACATTTAAATTAATCATGTATACCTTTCATAATGCAGTACATTTGCTAATATGTGATTGAAGAAAAAATTAAGTTATGTTTGTGAATGCTCTCCAGATCATAATTAAGAAAAGTGATAGTTAGTGACCAAAGTCTTAATTGTTTATTTATAGGTAGAGACTGCTACACATTTTGTTGTGGGTTCACAATAAATTGTGTGTCTACCTGCATCATGTAGGCATATTGTACTTAGAGAAAACTCAGAAACTCAAAATTGAAGGGTGGTTTTAAGCTGTCTATCACAGGTAGTTGGAATCAATGGGAGAGGTAGATTTAGAAGTATTTTGAAGTCGTTTATGAGCATGCGGTTCATGACAGCTTGTTTGGAAGTTCTGTCTTGTTAAGTTTCACAAAACATCTTATGGAAGAATTACTTTAAAAATAAATTATCTTAATAATTTATTGTATGTTTTAGAGAAGACCAAATCAGAATCAATTTTCAGCGCTTATATATTTAATGGATCTCAAAATTAATTACCGAAACCACTCACCCATTTTATTTTGCATTTTCCAGTCTGACCTTAGACCATAATTAAATCTTTCTTTCCACAATTTATGTGATTAACTCTTACGGATTGCGCAGTGTCAAATCACCGCATCCTGAATAGAGAGGAAAAAACGTTCAGTTATCTGCCAGTGAGTAGATGAGGAAATGAAACATCTCTAAGCCTGTGTTTTCGATGCCACCTTGACACCCTGATAGCTTGTTGTCCCCAAGGACCTAGTTAAAAAGAGCCAGATCTCTGCAGACATGATCATTGTTAACAGTTTTGCTTTAGTCAGGGAAGTCCTACAATATTGCTCCTCCCCTATACTTGAAATTCCAAGTCTGTCTTGGATGCTTGTTCAAAGAATAGTTCTAATGGGGAATTGTAAGGAAGTAGTTTTACCTTCTCTTGTAATAAACACACCCCTCATAGGCCCTCCACCTGTGCATGTAGATAATATATAAATAAGCTTGGAAA